GAGTGAGGGGAGATTCCCTGGGAGTCCCCCCCTAGCCTGGCTGACACCCTCAGAATTTGCTAGTCTATCTAATCCCCAGTCCTGCCTACAGAGTCCTAACCTTGCAGAGCAGGAATGCAAGTGTGTGCTCCTTAAAAACAACTTGAGGGCCAGAGAGATGTCTCAGTGGTTAAGAACACTAGCTACTCTTCTGCAGAGGACCTGAGTTCAGTTCCTGGCACCCAAGTGGCAGCTCACAATTGTCTAATTTCAGCCCCAGGGGCTCTGATATCTTCACACCAATGCACATAAAATAAACTTAAAAAAAAAAAAAAAAAAAAAAAAAGAACTTGAGCAGCCAGACTGGGTGAGAAGCAGGTGCCTAGGGCAGGGATGTGCAGCTGTGGCAGAACCAGTCTGAGGAGGTTTCTGGGCTGTTTTCACATTTCAGGGGCCACCAAAACAATGTCTTTAATCCGAGCACTTGGGAGGCAGATGCAGGTGGACTTCTGTGAGTTCAAGGCCAGCCTGACCTACAAAGCTAGGTTCAGGACATGCTCCAAAGTACACAGAAGAAACCCTGTCTCAAAAAAACAAAACAAAACATATCATACCAGAACCACAGGGATGCTGTGGCATGTCCACTGTCCCTCTCAGAACAGGACAGCTGTTTCCCTACCAGCCGCATCTGTGCCTTGTATCCTGGGAAGTAGCTTGTTTTATGTGACCTTTGTGTGATGTTATGAGACAGAGAGACTGGGAAAGGCAGGACCAGGATAGAATTTGGGTCTACCTATCTCAAGGGTCTCAGTGTAGCTAATTTATGGCATGCCAAGAAGCTGTGAATTTCTTAGCTTCTGCAGAAATAAAGGAAGTGTGGAAGACTCAGTCAGAGGCAGGGATGAGGTAGACCACCTGGGCAGTGGCAGGGAGGTTAATGCTGGTCTCTTTCCACTCAGCAGGATACAGTCAGGCTGGAGTCAGGAGCTCTCAGGGGACTGGTATGTCTTGGCCTGAGGCCTAGGGCCCAGTCACCCTGGAGACAGTCAGAGATTGGGGGGGGGGTGCTCCCTCTGCAGAAACCACTGTCTAGATCCAGCACAGACAGGACATACACAGCTAGGGTGACCCCTGAACAGGTGGGGGGGGCATGCTCAAGAATAAGAGGAAGCCCAGCAGGCTGTGGGTGGAGGTGACGTGCTGCAGTGGGATAGAAGGTTTCTATGTCACACAGGCTTTATGCTCCAGTCCCCACTGGTCAGCTGGTGAACGGGCCAGTCACTTAGCTGTCACGTCTATAGTCTCCTCTGGTGTAAGGTAGGAAGGCTGTAAAGGTTGAGGGTGGCCAGGTGTGGAGCTACATGCCCGTTCCTATTCATTCCTCACAAAAGTCTTAACGCCCCTCTTCCATGTGTATGGCTGTTTCATCTGCATGTATTTCCACGCCACTGTGTGTCTGGTGCCCACAGAGGTCAGAGGAGGTTGTCAGATCCCCTGGGACTAGAACAGACAGCTGTGAGCTGTCATGTGGTTGGTGGGACTTGAACCTGGGTCTTCAGGAAAAGCATCAAGTGCTCTTAACTGCTGAGTCATGTGTCAAGGCCCAAGTTTATTGTTCTTGTTTCTGTCAGGAGGGTCAAATAATATGCCCAGGGTCCCAAGCCAACTCTCAGACCACAGCATTTTGCCACTATTGCCTAAGGGTGTAGATACAGTTTCTCTACTGGCCACTGCCAAGGCTGGCTTTATGTGCTGTGATTTCAGTACTTGATGAGAAGGAAAAGGAGTCTATACCCACCATGGAGACCCAGAAGCAGCTCAGTCAAGCCCGATTCTTTAACACGTTTCCTTAGACCTGCCCTCCTGACAGAACTTTGCAGTCTGCAGAACCCTTTCTCTGCATCATCCAGTGGCTCTCGTCCCACAGGTGTGAGTCCTGAAGCAAAAGAAACAAGTGCTTCATTCAGGACCACACAGGTGTGAGGACCACACAGGTGTGAGGACCACACAGGTGTGAGGACCACACAGGTGTGGAACAGTACTGTTAGTCTGCAGCCTTCTGTGGCTACCTTCAGAGCACTTTGGGAGGAACAGGCTGTGTCTGTGTATGTATGTCTCTGTGTCTGTGGATGTGTTTGTGTGCATGTGTGTATATGTGTGTGTGCCTGTGTGAGTGAGTATGTGTGCATGTATGTGTATGAATGTGTATGTATATGTGTTCCTATTTAAAGAGCAGATTAATTTTTATATTCAAAAGATGTATTAATGATTAAAATTTCAAAAGTTTCTGTGTATAAACCAAAGAATTGGTGTTGAAGTTGACACTGGTTGTCCCAGGAGCTGGGGTGTGACTCCTGACTGCTGGGTGTGGGCTTCCTACAATAGCCCTACCCTACCTACAATAGCCTCCCTTCAAAGAGGGTAGAAAGTGAGGAAAGAGTTAAGTTCACAGGGGAACCTGGACAGTACCTCAGCCAACTGACCAACGCTAGCAAGGGACAAGTCCTGCTCACAGGAAGCACCTCGGTGCCACCCGATGAGGAGTCTTCCTCCTAAAAACCCCAAACCCAGAGCCCCATGAAAACATCAGCCTTGGGCTATAGAGCAAGATGGGTGTGGGGAAGAGGAAAGGAGAGGAGAAGAGGAGGGGAGGACAGGGGTGGGGAGAGGGGAGGAGAGGAGAGAAGAGGGGGGAGGGGAGGAAGAGGATTGCTGGTGTCAAAGCTATCTCGATTGTCAGCAACAAGAAAAGTTGCCATGACAGAGAAGGGCATGGGTTTGGGTTAATCACAATATGACTCGACAAGCTCATTCACTGTAATAACACTGTAACAACAGGAGAATCTGAGGTGTCTATGCGCTATTGTCATAAATAACCTTTTTTGTAAATCTAAAAGTGCAAGGTTTTTGTGTCTGTTTTTTCATGAGACAGGGTCTCTCTATGTAGCCCTAGGTGGTCTGGAACTCAGTATGTAGACCAGACAGGCCTTAAACTCAAAGATTTGCTGCCTCTGCTGGGATGAGCAATGTACTATCATGTCCAACCGCAATTCGGAACTTTTGTTACTTGTTTTAATCAAAAAAGTTTTTAGAATAGTGCCAAGTTTGCCTGGCTGCTCCTGGTCAGCCTGTAAGCCCTTTTCTAGAGAAAATGCCTATTTCCTTGTTGGAATGCTCCAGAGGGGACAGTATGGGCTAGCACTCTGTTGTGGGGGCCATGGCCAGTGGCCAGGCTCCATTCTTGATCTCTTCCAGTTTCTAACTGTGGAACACTGGCAGTCCTATAAATTCTGCTCCAGACATGCTTAAAGCTGGAGTTTGCAGTATCATTGAGAAGGCCAAATGTATGCAGTAGGCACCTTAAAATGCATGTGTTTATATAGTAGGCACTGTATGTGCAGTTGCTGCAGTTATTAGAAGCATACAAGTGCATGTCTGCAGTAAATGTGTTGGAAAAGAAAAACTCCAAACTTGCACACAAAGCCCCACAAAGTGTCCTTTCGAAGATATTTCAGATCATTGTCTAATAGCCCTACCTACGGGTCAGCTGGCGAGAGTAACTTCTCTTGATATACTTAGTATTGCTGTTTCTCCCTCTCCCATTCACCTCCCCCTGCCTTCCTTCCTTCCTCCCTCCCTCCTTCCCTCCCTCCATCTTTCTTTAGACATGGTCTGTGTGTTGCCCAGACTGGTCTCAAACTCAGGCTCAAATGACCCTGCTGTCTCAGCCTCCTGAGTCGCTGGAACTACAGGTCTCTGTTCTGTGTCTAGCAAACATACTAGTTTCTACTCATTAAGGCTCAGACTTTATTAAATAAGGGGTCAAGCTGTAGGAGATTGACAAACAGCACATTATTATTCTATCCCTTCTCCTTAAAATTTAACTTTATGTGTATAAGTGTTTTGTCTGCATGTAGCTCTGTGCACCAAGTGAATGCCTAGTGTCCAGGAAAATCAAAATAGGGCATCAGATCCCCTACAACTGGGTGCTGAGAGCTAAACCTGGGTCCTCTGCAAGAGAAGCCAGTGCTCTAAACCTCTGAGCTGTCTCCCCAGCCCCCAAATTATTTTTGTTTGACAAAAAGTAAAAACAGTCCAGGTTTTACTGCCAGTTTGGGAATTTATTTTCTTCTAACTTTGCAATCTTCTTCCCCTATTCCTTGTTCCACAGTCTTGCATTTCTCTCTTTGATCCATCCTGCTGCTCCACTTACTAAATAGTTAAATAGCTTTTGGTACTCAAGATACCTCTGTAGTAATCTGCATTAGTCACTTTTCTTGTTCAGTCCACAGAGAAAGGCTCAGCAGCAGGAGCTTGAGGTAGCAGGCCACATTGCGTCTGCAGTCAGGTAATGGGGGGAATGTCTGTCCTTGGTGTGTCCTTCTTTTCATTCAGTTTGGGGCCCCATTTCATTGGGCGCTGCTCTTCAAGTTCAGATGGTTTTCTCTTTCCCAGTCTATGGATACCCAGAGGTGTCTTTTGGGTGGTTCTAAATCACACAAAGTTGAGGGTATAGATGATTACAAACATGCTTACTAGGCTGGAGAGATGGTTTGGTGGTTAAGAGCACTGGCTGCTAATCCAGAGGTCCTGAGATCAATTCCCAGCAACCACATGGTGGCTCACAACCATCTGTAATGAGATCTGGTGCCTGCAGGGATACATGTGGATATATAAGCAGGCAGAACACTGTACACATAATAGATCTTTTTAAAAAAAAAAAAGAAAACCATGATTACCTGAGGAAGCTTTTCTCTTTGGCAAATGGCATGTCATGAATGCTTTTCTACCCTTGGTTATTGATACAACTGGAAGACAAATATGTCAGAACAGTTTGCCTTCTCTAGCTTTATGCCATACTACACAGAATACAGTGTATAGATATCCCCACCATAACCACTGTAGCCAGTCTCCTGCCGACAGACCCTGTGTTGGTCTCATTTCCTCCTGCAGATAGTGCCATGGACAACCCTGTACACTGGGTGGAAGCAGGTTCCTGAAAGCAGAGGCAGCTGGGAAGCAGAAGAGGCCCCAGATAGGGATGTGTCTTACCTGCCTCCAGCCTGACCTAGCCCACCTCCCCATGGCTCTTTGTTCCTTGCTCCTGCTTCTTCCTCTCCTGGTATCTCCAGAGAGGAAGAGCCAGACTTCGCTGCCCTCCAGGCCTGAGTAGCAACTCATACTGGGTAGGGGGAGAGGGTGCCTTGGAGAGGAGGATCTTGGGAATTTGGGACCTGGGATCAGTACTGTCCCTCGACTGCAGCCACTGGGAGAGCATACTCCGAGGGCTCTGGTAGGGGACAAAGACCTGGGGAACAGGGACAGCCTGAGGAGGATGGGGTGCTGGGGGAGGGGGAGGGGCAGTGCCCAACAGCTCTGGCACTGACTTGCCTCGAATGCCCAGCATGGGTGGGTGATCAGGGCACAGTGTGTGGCAGGCAGTGGTGAGGAAGGGACTGGCCAAGCTGGTGGTGACAGTCACAAAGTGGTCCAGAACACCTCCTTCCTGTGGGGATTCAGCAAAAGGGAGGCTCAGGGTAGCTTGGAGCCTTTCTAGGAGGGATGGGGCAGACTGGGCCTGGGCCTGGGCCACAAGCTGAGTCAAGGCTGGCCACTCGGGTTGGTACCGCAGGCTGAGCTGTTCTGCCTGTGGCCGCCTCAACAGCTGCCTGATCTTCCTCACTGTGTCGAAGCTGTCAGTCAGAACGGCCCATTCCAAGGCCGTCCTGCCACGGACGGGATCCACCGAGCTCAGGTCAGCACCTGCAAGTGGACCGGTGTGGCAGGGATTAGTTAGGGAGCTATGGTTTGTGCACGGCATATTCTTCAGCAGCAAGGCTGGCTTGGGTTTCAGCCTTTTGTATAAGAGACAGGAAGCTACCAAAGTCTGGACGGGGAGACTGACAGAGCCGGTGGGGTCTCCAACAGGCTCATAGGGCCGTCTAAGAAGAGCAGAGCACAAGCTGCTTAAGCCACAGCTGCTTGGGGAGATGTGTTCAGTCATTTAACCCTCCCACTTTATTCCTTCATTCTCATGCCCTTTTCTCTGGGGCCAGAGAGACAGTCACTTGAAAGGAGAAAGTCATGGGGTACCCTTGCTTCCCTGCTAAACCCACTGGGGTTGAGAAGGGAAATGTTGGAGACAGGAACTCCTTAGGGAGACCAGCAGAGAGCATCAACAGCCACCTCAGGGGGAATAGTGAGGGTCCCACTACTCAGAGTGGTTCTCCACCAAAGGCTCCAGCCTGAGAGCTGGAGTCAGTCCTCACTGCTGCCCCATGTGGCCATGTTTCTCCACCTGGATCTCAGGCAATGGAGAGGCCCGGACTAGAACTCAAGACTCCTACTCACCCTACACCTTTCCCCATCTTATGTCTGCACTCTTTGCTGGGACCTCCATAAATAGAGCTATGGCTAGCCAGGCTTTGCGTACTGTGAGAGGGTGATAGCACACCCCTCCTCCATTAAGTTGGCCTTGATCGGTGTTCTGTTCCCTCTTCTCTTGCTGTAGCTAAATGGTATCTGGTGGGTGGTAGCAGAGGAGCCACGCACCTGCCATGAGGAGGGCAACCACACATTCGGAGCGGTCTCGAATGGCAGCCTTCATCAGAGCTGTGAGCCCCCGATGGTCCCTGCGCTCCAGGTCCAGGCCAGCAAAGTAGTTGATCAGGGAAGTCACCAGCGGCGTGTGACCTACACAGAAAGGACCACAAAGCTGGAATACCCAGGTAATGGGACAATAAAGCCTGGCCAGAGAGACCCTTGTATAAGGTTGGGGCTGTGGCCCTGATGGCTGTGAGCAGGGTGAGGTGGGGTGAGGGGGGATGAGGGTGAGGGTATTGAGTGGGGATGTCTTGCACCTGCTTGAGCAGCGAGCATGAGGGCGGTGTTTCCGTCTTTGTCCTGCTGGTTCACATCCAGGAAAGGACAGCCGCTGAGAAGAGCCACAATGGTACCAAAGCCACGATAGCATGCGACCATGAGGCCTGTCTGGGGACAGAGCAGCTTGGACCCCACCTTCCACTAAGTTCTCCTTAGCATCCCCTCCTTCTAAATCTGCACCTTCCCAGAACCTGTCCCAACCCCTTGTGAAGATGGTTCTCACCCATCTAAAGAGTAGGAGTGGCTTCGGGAACTCTCTGGGGAACCAGACCAGGAAGCTGTAGGGGGAGGGGTCGTGGGGGGCCTGAGCTGTCCCCAGCTGCCCTGCTAAGCCCTTGGGCATCTCACCCTCCCATTGCTGTCCACTTGGGAAGCCTCCTCTGGGGAGACCCCAGCATCCAGCCTGGCTTGGAGCTCAGCGGGGTCATTGTGAACACAAGCCCAGTACAGGGTCTTCAGATTGCAGAGAGGAGTCAGGGTCTCCTTGCTTGGGCAGGACATGTCCAACTGTTCCCGGGTCAATGGTGGATCCTCTGCTTCCAGTCTGGGGAGGAAAGGTGAATCCCTCTTTAGTCAGCTGGCAGCTGTGACAGAATCTAGAGGAACAGTTTCTCCTGCCATCCTGGGCAGACGTCCCTGAAGCTTCACCCATCTCTTCAGGGAAAGCCTTCACCTTGATGAGTATCTTGCCCCCAACTGGACACAAGATAGGCAGCCACAGCGTCTTACTGTAGGTCAGGTTCCCAAGGAAGTTCATGGCTGAGGTTATCATTTTCCCCTCCCCCAACCTTACCTGGAATTCTAGGGTCTCCAAAAGACTATCATGGCAGGCAGAGCTGTGGATCAGAGCACCCTTGCACCTCCAAAAGCACACTAGCCCTTCAGTGGAGTGGCCGAGGGATTGTCTGTCACCAGGAAACAGGGCGGGTGACAGATGGCTGTTCCTGAAGAAAGCTGCCATAAACACATTGGGGCTGAGCTGGGTCAAGCGGGTTAGGAAGGGATTGAGGGCCTGGAGGGGTGGTTGTTCTGTCTGCCGTTTCCCCATCCCAGCACTAAGACCCCACTAGACCTGGCTGGTGGTGACTTCTCTAGGACCACAGCAGAGTGGATCCACCTGGGCTGATCGTTCTCACCTTCATCATGAAAGTTCACTGGTTTTGCAAGAAAAGCATTCTAAGGGTCTGGACATTCAGCAGCCAAGCCTGAGATCCCCTCCTCTTCAGTGGAGCTGGTTTGGGAAGAGGCCACAGCTGTGGTGTGGGGGAAGCCAGGAGTATTAAGTAAGCATGAATGCGGAGGTGGGCTCCAGGGTTTACTCAAGGAAATCAAAACATAAAGGATTGTCAGAAGGATGGAGAAGTGGCTCAGAAGTTAAGAGCACTGATTGCTCTTCCAGTAGGCTGTAGTTCAGTTCCTGGCACCTACTAGGCAGCTTGTAGCTGTCTGTAACTCCAGTGCCAGGGAATCTAATGCCTTCTTCTGGTTTCTATCGGTAACTGCACTCACAGGCTTACACAATACCAGAACACCTATAAGCAGAAACAATAAAATAAAAATAAGTTTAAGAAGAGAAATTCCAAATTAGGGCTATAAAAATTATGATGTATTAAATTGAATGGATTAGGTTTGAAGGGGTAAGTAAAATATGACATATTTAAATGAAATTAAAGAAATAATAGGTCTGTACTGTCATTTTTGGAATTAATAAGTTGAATGACTTGGAGCTCAGCACTCTCCACACTGGGGGACTTTGCTTTCTGGCTTCATATTGTTTTCCCCTGACATTGGGTTCCTGAAGCTTTCTCCTCCTCTCTTTACCCTTTGGTGCTAATATAATAATCATAGAACACGTACATTTTATTTAAAATGTGACTTGTGGGCTGGGCAGTGGTGGCACAAGCCTTCAATCTCTGTAAGGCCGGCCTGGTCTACAGAGTGAGTTCCAGGACAAGCTCCAAAGCTACAGAGAAACCCTGTCTCAAAAAGACCAAAACCCAAACCAAAACAAAACAAACAAAAAAAATGTGATTTGTGTTTGTTTTTCTTTTGTTTGGTTTCTTGTATTTGCTTTATTGGTCTTTTGTTTGTTTGGAGAAAGTCTCTTATGTAGCCCAGACTGACCTGGAACTCAGAGTTCCACCTGCCTCTGCCTCTCAAGTGTTGGGATCACAGGTGGGCAGCACCACACCTGGCTTGTGTATTTGTTTTTATTTTTCTTTTATCTCTTTCTCTCTCTCTCTCTCGCTCTCTTTTTTTTTTTTTTTTTTTTTTTTTTTTTTTTTGAGACAGGATCTCACTATATAGTCCTGCCTGTCCTGGAAGTTACTCTGTAGACCAGGCTGGTCTTGAACTCACTGAGAGCCACCTGCCTCTGTGCTGGGACTAAAGGCATCCACCACCATGGCCTGGCAACTTAAACAGGTTTCTAATTATGCTAGAGCACTTGTTTGTTTTTCACCCCATCCTGTGACTTAAAGACCTGTCCTGTGAGGTCACATGCAGTTAGGAGCTTGAAGGGGCGTGGCAGTGGGGCTGACCTGGAGAGTAGGGCTGGACTGTTTGGGCTTTCATCCAAAGCTCCTGTGGTCTTTCTCCCAAACTGCTAAGTCAGCACTTCCCAGCCTCCCAGAGCTGTGGATCTGGGCTTTATGCTCTGTTGGTAAATTTAGAGCAGAGTTATGTAGAACAGGACACCCGCGCTTTCTGAGACAGACCATGGCAGCACAGACGGGCTCTGCTAGCAGCTTTCTGATTTGCCAGTTTCCTGTAGTACCGGACTGTGGATTTCTCAATCACAGGCAGAGGTCATGTGACTGCCAAAGCTGGCAGTTGTTTCAGACCTACAGCCTGCTTTTCCAGCCCTTTCTGCTTGAACTAGCCAGTTGTATTTTTGTTGTCTGCCACTGCACTCTAATGGATACAAGTGGCTTAGCAAATAGAGTTTTAGTTTTCACAGGGAAAAAAATTCAGGAATAGCAAGCTGTTGGCATTGGTTAAGGGATCTGATGGTGCCAGGGCCTTGTCTGGAATTCTCCTACTTTTCCTCTTAGTCACAATATGGCTGCTCTACCCCAAAGCATCAGAGTGAATTGTGGTGAATGTGGAGTTCTATGCAGTACTTAGCAGATGTCTATGAGATTGTAGGCCAGACATCTCTGACACAGCTCCTATCCATAGATTCCTTTTTCTCTACTCACCTCTGAGCTTGGTCTGATTGCATACTGAAGGCTTGGCTGGGGAACTACTTGCAGAAATATAATGGACGGGAACTCTCTGCTGTCGAGATACAAGACGACAGGGGCGTCTTTGCCCTGCTATCACTCTCCCTGTATCTTCCTGAGCATGGAATCCCACGGGTGCACACAGGCGTGTGCACCCACCACATCTAGCTTTTCTGTTCCTCCAGAGGATTAAGGAAGGTACTCTTTGGTTCACAGTTCTAGGGCACAATCCAGCCCAACGGAGCAGTCGTGGAAGCAGGGTGGGCGGCTGGCTGGTCACACAGAGTCTGCAGCAGGAAGCCAAGAAAGGTGACAGCTCACACTCAGCTTGTTTTCTCCTCTTTATTTGGATCAAGACCCCTAGCACATGGGATGACCACACACATAGTGAAGACGTTCCACACAACTGATGTACCTTAGACAATCCCTCCTAGCATTTCCTTAGGCTCATCTCCTGGTGAGGCTAGAGCCTGTGGAGTCGATAATATTAATCCTCACAGTGCTCTGGGTTGCTTCTTGCTGATTGCAAACACTTCTCCAGTAGACACTCTTCGATTCATCTAGCTCTTGCTGTGCTGGTCTCAGGGCACACACCTGATGGAGGTTCTCACATGCAATGATTTCCTTCTAATACCCAGGCCAAAGATTGGAACTGTTCACTTCATACTTTCATCAGCTGGACAGACAGAACTAAGCATCAATATCCCCATTTGATGTGGAACTTCTGGTTGTCTCCAAGGTGAGCCTCTCTTCTCCCACCTGAAAATCACTCTTGTTACCACTACTGGGATTTGCCTGCTCCTGGCCTTGGCCAGCATGGGCTTGTGTCAGTGGGGAGGGGCATAGTTCTTGTCTCCCACCCCTCCCCCACTGATTCTTTGGAAATTCTTTTAATTTCCCAGATAATAAACCTTTTAGATGTGACTACCATACTATAATCCAATGGTGACCTCGATTTAAAGAAAGCCTGAGTTTTGATATTGTTAAACTCTTCAAAAATTCTTATACTTTTTGTTTTAGTATCTTGCCCAAGGAAATTTTTCTCTTACAAATGATATTCATTCTTCTTCTTAATCTTAACAGTTTTATTTTCATATTTAGCCTTTCTTCTGAATTCATTTTTATATACTGAGAAAAAAAACCTGTAGACTGAATTGTGTCTCATCTTCAATTGAAATGTGACAAGCTAACTCCCACAGTGACTATTTGAAGTTAGGGCCTTGGATAATGTAATTAAATTTAGGGGTAAAAAAGCCATTCTAGACCAAAGTAGTTATGGTGAAAGGGTCACCAATGTCTCATTTCTAATTACACTACAGACCATAATGATAAAATGGCATGGCACTTTACAAAAACAATGTAAGGGGCTGGAGAGATGGCTCAGAGGTTAAGAGCACTGGCTGCTCTTCTAGAGGTTCTAAGTTCAATTCCTAGCAACTACATGGTGGCTTTCAACCATCTGTAATGAGATCTAGTGTCCTCTTCTGGCCTGCAGGCATACATGCATGCAGAACACTGGATACATAATAAATAAATCTTTAAAAACAAAACAAAACAATGGACTAGAGCACACAAAAACACACAGTTGTAGCCTCCTAATTTTAAAAGTTTGTGTGTTTGTGCACTTATGTGTGCCAATATGTGTGAGTACAGTGTCCACAAATCAGAAATGATGTCCAAGGCCCAGACCTCGAGTTGCAAACAGTTGTAAGCTGCTTGTCATAGTGACATGGGTGACCTGGAACAGACAAGCCTTTAATCCCAATGGCAGGAGGCAGAGGCAGGGAGATCTCTGTAAATTTGAGTCCAGCCTGGCTTATATAGCGAGTTACTGGCCGACGAGGGCTACACAGTGAGTGAGACTGTCTCAAAACAAAAATTATCAAAAAACAAAACAAAACCCAACCACTTCAAGATACAGTTGTAGCCAAGCACTTTCTCTCTGCAAAGTCTCTGATAGCTCAGGAAGTAATTCCAAGATTGGTGAAACACTTCAGGAAATTAAAATCTTCAACACAGCAGAGGGAGCAGCAGAGAGAAGAGAGCACAGAGTGGGAGAAGATCTTTGCCTGCTACACATCTGTGAGGGGATTAATACATAGAATCTATAAAGAACTCAACAATTAAACACACAAAACCAATCGGTAAGTGGGTAAATTAATTCATGGGCACAAATGGCCAAAAGTGCATGGGAAAATGTTCCACCCTCAGCCATCAGGGAAATTTGAACTAAAACTACACCTCACCCGTGTTGGAACAGTAGAGGCAGGTGGATCCCTGAGTTTTGAGGCCAGCTTGGT